TATCATTCGACGGGCAGTAACGTCGATCAAGTACACTGACCCCCCAGCTGACAAGCCTATCATGCTCTTGAATGAACTCCCACCATATGAAAAGATCGAAGTGATGGTAAGCATGGCAGATGCTGAGAAACGGGAGATGGACAACCAGATGTCAAAGTGGAGCAGTGAGTGAGTACAGAAAAAAATTGTACTGGAACAGTGGATCTGATGCAGACTGTTCTAGTTCAAAGACACATGGAGCTGTTGATGTCACGGATGCCGGGGTAAGTTAAGTTATTGTGTGATCGCAGGGAGCCCTTCCGCTTCACGGTACATTACCAATTTGGCCAATTTGCTCATTTTTCTCTTAGGCATTTTTGCTCAATTACCGGCTTGCCGTAGCATATCTGCAATCTCAACGCGATCCTGACTATCTGTCGAAATCCGGCAAGAAAAAGTTTCCACCGTTCGAAAGTCTTGAAGAGTGGGAAAAGTATCCAGGAGCAAAGCTCGAGGCGACGTTGAGATTGTGCAGGCACTATTTGTCTGATGACAATGTGTCTCCACCATATATCGAAGACGGTCACCTCGTTTTCCCTGATCCTCCTGCAATGGTGACCGGCGATAAGAAGAAGAGGATTCAGCAGATAAAGATCCTTATCTTTCATGAGTTCCCTATGATGGATGAACTCATCATGTCGGTATGTAATTTGAATCTTTCTTAATCTTTGCATACTCATTTTGTTTAGGCCTTCATTATGAATGGCATTAAAATCTTGTCGCTGAATGGCTCCATGAGGCTCACGGCACGTCAACAGGTGGTTGAGAAATTCCTTCATCCCGATTCAGATGTTCGTGTGCTTCTCCTCAGCCAGGTAGGTAGCTCTGGGCTTAACCTGATGAGAGCTTCTGTCGTCATCCTCTTTGTAAGTTTCAGCATCATTGCTAGTTGACATTCACTGACTGAGATCCCACAGGATATTGGTTGGACTGCCATTCAAGAAGAACAGATGATTGGTCGTGCCCATTGTCATGGGCAAAAGGAAACCGTTTATGTCTTTCGCCTTATCGCGACAGACACTATTGACGTCTTGATGGCTCAACACTCTGGTTCAAAAGCCCAGCAGCTTCAGCATTTCTTCAAGAAGCCTGATTTTAATGTCCGTCGAAACAGGAGTAAGTTCCTTTTACTTTTGGATAACAATGATTTATTCATATTTTTGCAGAGGCATTCCAGCTGCTGTACAATTGTGATGTACCAGCAGATGCTCCTGCTGCAGCTGATGGAGAAAGCGATAACGATGATGACCAGAGCACCCAGGAAAGTGCCGTTGAACAGCCTCCTGCAAAAAAACGCAAGACAAATAGCAAGAAAACGGTGAAAACAAAGGAAGTAGATGTCATCGATGAATCCCGCCGTCGTCGTAAAGTGCCAAAGAAGGTACCAGAGGATGGAAACAGGGAGGGAGCTCCTGCCACCAAGGTACAGATGACGATGCAGAGAGGATCCATAGATGAGGCTGGACCGTCGAAGGCTGGACCGTCGAATACCCAGTCAAAGCCCAAGCCCAAGCCCAAGCCCAAGCCCAAGCCTATCACAAAGCCAGCACCAAGCGCACCACAGAATCCCATCGAGGAGGGTAATGCACAACCCGCTCAATGTGAATCTCAGCCCTCGGCCCCCTCCGCTCCATCATCCCCTCTTCCTCATCCTGTCATCCCTTCCTCCACCCCTGCAGTTATACCACCACCAGGGCGTGGAATGACTGCCATCACTGCCCTCTCCAGCGATATTATCTCGACACCAGATGCTAATGAACCAATTAGCAATGATGAGATAGAAAGCTATGGGGGCACTGCTAGCGGCGGTGCTTCACAACCTCTTGACGATCTCCTTGACTTTGATGACCTAACTCCTCTGTCTTCCAATGCCCCCTCATCTCCATCGACACCAACCCCTTTGCCTGGCAGGAAGAAGTCCATTTCAACTGCACCAACAGGTAAGTTGAATACTCAGTCAGGAATTCCAGAGTCATCACAGAGAAGAGGAACGAGAGGAATGTCAAGGACACGATCTCAAGCAGCCAGGTCAAAGGATACTGCTAATGCAGCTCCACAGACTCCACAGGCGAACTTTGTGATTGAACGGAATGGATCCTTCAGGCCAAATATGCAAGAACCGGCATGGAGGCGTTGAGGTCGTTTGTGGGTGGCTTTCTTGACATTGCTTCATTGGCAGTTTGACGCATTTTTTCAAGAACAATTTTATATAGTTTCATATTGCAGTTAGTATGACAAATTTTTGTAATGTATACATTTCATGTCACTAAATATACAAGTGACAATTGGTGAAAATATCCTGGAACTGAAAAGGATGGGTCCCCTGCACTTCACAGTCCCATACAATTTTTTTTGCATTACCAAGAAGAATTTGACATGACAAGAAATTGTGCTGTCAATGTCATGTCCAGCTGAATGTCTTCGGAAAAATAGAGAAATTTTTCATATGGCGCTCTGCTTTGTTAGTATAAAGTAGATGCAAACAGCGATATCACCCACCTACTTTTCCTCTTTAGCATGAACTCTGACCAGGATGATGACAGTTTCTTTCAGGGATCAGGACATACAAGTAGCTTGTTCACTGACAACGAAGACCAGGAAGAAGCAGGAGGAGCAGAAGAAGCAGGAGCAGAAGAAGAAGAAGAGGATGAGTACAATGATGAGGATCAACGTCGTGATGGTATGCATATCACTGGAAAGTAGCCATTGGTCTAATCAGGCATCTAGTATCCTGGACACCTCCTTCTGTTGGTGCCATTAGACACCGGAGATCTCGTCAAAGCAGGTGCCCCGAGTCCACCCATATTCATGATCATCATCGACGACATCATCGACATCTAGAACAGAGGGACGAAGAGGATGATGCTCATGGGTCATCTCGTCGAAGCCGGCGCCCCGAAATCACTGCTAGTGATGAGGAGGATCGTCATTGGAGACGTCGTCGCCATCCAGAACAAAGGGATGAAGAGGATGAGGCTCATCAGTCATCCTATTGAAGCACCCCGGGGCCAGCCTCTAGTGATGAGGATGATGGACCTCTGCACCATCGACAAGGAGAAATCAGACATGGAGAATGGGATCCGGATGATGATGTTGATGGGAATAACATTCGCATTCGGGGTGTCCACACATCAAGAGATGTCACATTGGGGGAGTTCGTTCAAGAATGTAGTCAACTATGGATGGATCAGAATGTTTCAACAAGGAGCATCGCATGTCGTGGAAAGTATCTCCGCTATGTATTGTGTGGGGAATATGGCGAGGATCATTACATCAATCTCACCATGGCTGGAGCTGACCTGCCAGAACCAAAAGTGACATTGATGAGGGACTATGATTCGGTCATTGCAATCTGTGATCGTGTTCCAGATCTGGGAATGCCGATTGAGTTTGCTACTACGTATCAGCCGATGATGTCAATGCAAGGTGGTATTAATATCCAAGCACCTTTCAAAATTGTCAATCCACAGAATGGCGAGGTAGCATTTATCATCTAAATGTCAAAGTCTATGCTAAAGCTGATCATATGTAGCTCACAACAAATCCCATGGATCC